TGGGCTCTACCCCGACTTATGGTCTCAAAGGAAATCCAGGCCCAAGATGACAAAGCCCAAAGGTCCACCTCATAAGTTGAGAAAAGCTGCGTAAAAAAAGGAGAAAAAAGAGAGAGAGACGTGTGAGATAGAAGAGCCGAAGACTCTCTCTCCTACGTTGGGACGGCTTCTTCAAGCACAGCTGGAGCCGGAGAAACCGTAGCAAGAATTGCAGCGCACAAGGAAGTCCTAACCCTAGACGGAAGAAGCGATTCTCGCACCTATAAATTGAGGGAGGCGCTGCGGAGAACCACCACCAATCAAGAAGAAAATCAGAGCTAACACCAAAGGGTAATAACCCTAGGGGGTTCGGATCTTGCATCCGAAACCCCCGCTTTTCTTTTCTTGTGTTCATTTTTATAGTTTTTTTTGTTGAACTTTGGTGCAATTAGTTTTTTCCTTTTTTTTGATTTCTGTTTTTAGTCCCCAAATTGAAAGTGTTTCTTTTGAATTGTCAAGATTATTGTTGAAGGTTTGCTTCTGGTTATGATAAAGTTTTATTTAAGATTAAGTCCAGCCTTGCAGAACTAGCTTCGAACCACCTGGACATTTCTTTAGTCCATGTTGATTTACAAGTTTAGGCTACTGAGTTTCATTTTAAAGTTTGCTGAGGTTGGTTATTCACTACTTGGGAACATGATTTCCATTTGGGTGAATTCACCCAGTAAGGTTTTTTCTTCATTTTGAGATAACCTCAAGGTTAAAGCTAGGATTTTTAAAGTTATGCTGTGCACTTTTGAGACAAATTTTAAAAGTAATTCTTCTTGGTTTGAGAGTAGGTTTCAGTAAAGAAACAAGCTGGTTGTAAGTTAAATGAAGCAAACTTCCAAAGTAATTTTTGTTGTCTTATTTAGGATCTAATTTTGTCAAAAAATAACATATGAAACCAGAATTTTTGGAAGAAGTATTGAATCCTGTTGTTTAAAATTAAATCTGTCTATGGGTTTAAACTTTTACTTCAAGTTTAATACTTCTAAAATAATTCAAGTTATGCTTCTGTTAAATTAAATCAAAGGTGTTTGAGAACTATTTTTCAATTGATTGTACTTAAGTTGGGTCAAATTAGGATCGCGACCTAATCCAATTTAAAATGATATTCTTTTAAAGTCCAAAGTGCTTTAAATAGCCGAACTTTTCTAGAAACCAAGTGTCACTTGATTAACCTAGGCTGCCTCGTTAAGTGGTTTTTGCTAATCAAGGTTCTCAAACTGATTTTGTTAAATAACCTTCGTGTTACTACAAGATTGTTACGGTGATGTTTTCCACAAATCTTAATGCACTATTCTTAGTAGTAATCTAAGGGTTGGTCTTTGGGTTGCTAAGGGTAGTAGGGTTTAGAGTTAGGGTTGGTCCTAACATGAGCTTTTATGAATGGGAAAATAGGAAAGAACCGTTGGTGGACCTCTTTTTCAGCCGGACCCTTGTTTTAATTTATAGT